TTTTTAAAAGAAGAAGCTTATCAGTAAGATGCTTTTCCTCCTAGAGCGCAGCATATATTATATCGGGCTTCTATTCATGTTCTTCAGTGTGTTTATTTGTTCTAATTTTTATCAAGGTTGGTTTTAAAATGTATTATTTTTCTTAATATTATTTAAATAAAATAATTTTTCTTAAAGGGGAAACTTTACCTAAAAACATTCTGGCTGTATCAATATCAAATTTGAGCATATTGATCATGTTTGAGCATATAGGCACCTGTTGAGTATATAATCATATACCGACTGACTCATTCAAAACTGAAGTGGCTTTATTCTCTGCAAAAAACAAAAACAAACAAAAAAAACATATATTTTTTTAAAAACATATATTTTGAAGAAAACCAAATGTTTGTGGTAAAAGGTGAGAAGGTGGGGAGTGTTTAAATAGATACAGATACAGATTTGTATTTACAGTGCTCAGCATAATTGAGTACACCCCATTTTGAAAATGATTATTTTAATCCATTTCTCTGTGAATATTGGCAATGTATTCTGGTGAAATTAAACAAAACAGATTTATTAAACAGATATACTTATTAAAATAATATTTTAGTCATCAAACATATTTAGAAATTAAAACAGAATACAATTAAATTCAAGCAAAATATTGCAAATAAATTACAACCGACAAAATTTCAACTACATTTTTCATGTTATGCTTCTTGATTTTTCATGTTTTTTATCATGTAATATTTTTCTATACCATATACATTTGGGTGTACTGTTTTTTGGACTTTTATTGTAAGTTATTTGTTAGATAAGCTGCAGATTTGGTGTGTATGCACAAATGTGCAGATGTATATGCACAAATATAATATTGTATAGCTTCCTATTAAAGATATGATTTTAAAAGAGAGATTTGTGAGGGGTGTACTTATATGATGAGCACTGTATTTTTTTATGTATATATAATATTTGTGTTTATATATAAAATGTATAATATATTTGTATGTGTATTATATTTTATCATATATTTTATTGTGTGTGTGTGTGTGTGTGTGTGGGCGCGCGCGCGCGCGTGTGTGTGTATGTATACACACACACACACACACACACACACACACACACACACAAAATATTATATTTTATTATATTTTATTTTATTATATTTTATTTTAAACAATATAGTGAAGTAACCCATGCAGGTAGTTTCTAGACCCTACTTAAAGGCACAAAATTTACACATTTTTAGACTGACATTATAATTTCTCACAGGAGTATCTTAGAATGTAATGAAGACCACGACTTTCATGATTCCACACTCAAAAATTGCATAATGTGTACATTCTTCTGCTTCTGCTTGAAGAAAAATGTGGTTTTTATTGACATCATTTCCAACAAAATCAAGCCAAAATGAAGTTCGCCTTGAGAATCTGAAACAGCTTGCCAATACAAAAGTAGCTCTGGCTTTGACTGCTAAACACCTTTGAAATAGCATTGGCCCTCTATTATTTGCAAGGGGTGTGGCTCTGAGGCTCCGCCTTACTTTACTTTGAAATCCTCCACAGTTCCTTTTCTTTCAGTCAGATCAGATGTTCACAAGTAAACTTTTACACAATGATAAATTGCTTCATAACAGAAACTGAACTGTAATTCTAACTGAAAGCAGCACTGACACAGTTTTTCTTGTTCAGTGATGCAAAGCTTTTCAAAAGAGTCTACTGTATAAATAAATGTGCCATGACTTTTGCCTGTAGTGCTGATATCCAGACATTGTGCAAACCTCCACTATTATCAGATGCTTTTTTAACTGCTGTTGTCTCATTGTTGTCATTTTAGTTGTATATTAATTTTGATGGGAAAGTGGGAAGTACATTTTTACATACAGATCCCAGCACAGCTCTTAGTAGCATGAGAAGCCCATCTCCTGACTGTGTCTGCTCTCATTGCACAACGGGGTCATGGTGCTAATCTAGCGGGCACACACTACACACATGCCAGCCTGCTGTCTCTCACCACCCTCCCCCAGCACACACAACTGTCCCAGACCCCCCTCTTCTGACACACGGCATGCTGAGTCTTTACAAAGCCCCGTTCTGCAGCCGTCCCAGGACTCTGCACTGTACTGCAGGACTGTTGCCCTCTGCCCTCTCACACACCCAGCCCTCTATTGTCCCACAAGAAAAAAGCAACGGTCACATGTGCACCGAACACCCCACAGCTGCTGGCCTTGTCCGCTTCTTGCCGCCCGTCTACTGCTGAAATGTCCACAGGTGATTTAAGCCAATTGAATATGAATGCCTATGACTGGCTTGGAATGAAACAGTTGAATGATTGACCATCACGACTATAACCATGAGGAGACATGTATTGTAACACTGTTCTAAAAAAAGATGCACAATGGATGAATCACTTTTAGCTAAGTAACAAACAAACAAACAAACAAATGATTACAAAGAATTAATGTCAGAACCACCCCTCCCCCATATCATGTATACACACACACACACACACACACACACACACACATTCTCCTCATGCAGGCTTCAAAGGCGATGATGGGAAAAGCCATCTCTCCACTGGCCGCTTCAAAGCACAGGAAGTGTGTCAAAGCGACTAGCCGGCTGGTTCCCAGCCCTTGCGTGTGTGTTAGTGTGTGAGCAAGAGAGAGCGAAAAAAATATGTGTATGCAGGGTATAATAACATGCCCATCTCTGTGCTTGTATATGTGCGTGTGTGTCTGGGAGGTTCAAAGCTAGCCAGAATCCTCTGCTTTGAAAGAGAGGATGTGAAATCTGCTGTGGCATTGATGCCCCACTCTGGCACATGCATATGTTTGTTTGTATGCGGATGAGTTTTTATTTAATCCTAGACCTCGGACATGCCCCACTTGTTTTGGTAAAGGTTCTTCTTGTTCTCAAGCAAAGTCTTTCTTTACACTCATCTCAAACTTCATTCAGCTTTTGTTTTTACTTTTGTCTGGCATCTAATATTAGTGCTTAATTTCTGTCACATTGCTTGGCTAATTGTCTGCAACTTCACTGACTGTGAAGTGATGTTCTTTAGAGATATTGCGATAACTGCTTCACTGTATCGTTTTAAATGATGTAATGATGCCAGTGTGGATGACACTTAGGAATCAGAGTACTGGGTTTCCCAACAGCATCATGAGTTTCATTCATTCATTTTCTTTTTGGCTTAGTTCCTTTTTTAATCAAGAGTCGCCCCAACGGAATAAACCGGCAACTTATCCAGCATATGTTTTAAACAGCAGATGCCCTTAATCCGCAACCCAAAACTGAGAAACACCCATACACATTCACACACATACACTACGTCTAATTTAGCTTATTCAATTCACCTATACCACATGTCTTTGAATTATGAATATGCAAACTCCACAGCTCGAATCAGCGACCTTCATGCTGTGAGGTGATCGTGCAGCCCACTGCACCACAGTGATGGCCATCATGAGTTTCACTATGAACAAATGCTGTGAAGTAGAAACACTTTTTCGTCAGTAGAAATGGAGTGCACGAATAAAGAAGGATTATCTTGAATTATATGACTTCTGTTCCTGTCTTCCCTCTTGGTGTCACTGCTGTAACCTGTATTTTCCAGATGTGGTTTACTAATGGCACTGTGGATAGAGAAATCGTCAGATTACTGCTGCAAGTACAGTCTTCACTTATTATTATTATTACTATTATTATTACATGTATATTTTTTAGTTCATTTATTTTGACACTTTGTTACATTTCTTTATTTATATTTTTAATTGTATTTTATCTCTTTGGTGTTGTAGACATGAGAGTAAAAATCCCTTTTTATGTGCAGACTTGCAGTTTTTAATTTAAGCTTTTAAACTTTGCTCCAAATCATTTAAGAAAATTTAAGAGCATTTAGGCATTTTAAAGAAGACTTCATAATTTATTACTGAAAACAACAACAAAACAAACAAAAGAAAAAAGGAAGTCTTTTAGGTTTCCTTTTGTAACATTATTTAACATAACATAATAACATGTTATTATTTCTAATATAATAAATGAAAACACATTAAAATAGTTTTAGCAAAACAGGTTCTATACTGTAACAGTAAACACAATGCAATGTATGTTCTATTTTCCATAAATACAGTGCTCAGCTTATATAAGTACACCTCTCACAAATCTTTTAAATTGATATTTTAATAGGAAGCTCTGAAATATTATATTTGCGCATATACATTAGATTAGTCAGTACTGAAGCCAAATCTGGAGCTTATAACAAAATAACTTATAACAACAGTCCAAAAACTAGTACACCCAAATGAAAAATATTAAATACAAATTTCGAAAATAGGAAAATACAAGAGAAGCAAAAAAAAAAGGAAAAAAAATTTGCAGAAATTTTGTCGGTTGTAATTTTTTGCAATATTTTGCTTGATTTTAATTGTATTATCTTTCAATTCCTAAACATGTTTGGTGACTAAAATATTATTTTATTAAATATATCTGTTTAATAAATTTAATTTGTTTAAATGCACCAAAATACATCTATTTACTAAGAAATTAACAAAAAAATCATTGGGGTGTACTCAATTATGCTGAGCACGATAGATAGATAGATAGATAGATAGATAGATAGATAGATAGATAGATAGATAGATAGATAGATAGATAGATAGATAGATAGATAGATAGATAGATAGATAGATAGATAGATAGATAGATAGATAGATAGATCTTTCACTAAGTCTATATATAGTACATCACACAACTAGTTAAAAGTTCACTTTACAGTTTATCCATACAATCGTGTTTCAGAGTGTGCTATTTAGTCCAAAGCAGCACGATTAGTGTCCGCTCGGATAAACGTGTTTAGCTGACGTCCTGCTCATGGCGCCCACGGGGGGCTTTGCGCTGCTCTTTTTATATTTGGAGTCTCCAAAAGAATCCCGCTTCCCTTTCATGTGCCGCCTCTGCCCAATCAGACGGAAGAAGAGGCGGCCTGCGCGAGGCGTCAATCCCGCTCTGTGAGTGGCTGCTGGCTGGAGCTGCAGATCGGCTCGCTCCTCCGCCGCCGCTGGATGTGTACGCAAGCCGCGCGCTCTTCTGCACGGACGCTCACAAATATCGCACTCTTTCTGGATTGTTTTTTTGTTTCTGATGTTTCTCAAGTGCTCTCCGATGCAGAGAAATGGGTAAACTTCATTCCAAACATGGTAAGGCGAGATTCCTTTTGGTGTTTTACAGCAAGACTTTAAATTTTAAGCACATGTGATGTAGTTCTCTCGAGTAATGCGTGTATACGACGTTCTTTTCTCTTTTTAAAGCTGCTATCTGTAAAGCGAGGGAGAGTCCTGAAGGTGAGTTGAGTGTACTTTGTTATTCATCAAATAAATAATTCCGCTTCTCTTTATTAAATTAAAGACAAATAAAACAAAGCTACACATCGTTCATTGCGTCAAAAAATTATTTAAAACTTCAGTCGAGAACTGTGCAACTTGTAAACACAAAGTAATTCTCTTTTACAAGATGTATGAATCGTGTTTTCTTGTTTTAGGCGATAGTTTTGTAGTTAACGCGTGTTTGGCGAGGAAAGGACTGGATGACTGGATGGTTAAACAGAAGTATTACTGCTCGAGCTCTCGTGTTGATCAGCGGGACTGCCAGCAGAAAAACAACTGCGAGCTGTCTCCACGGGTATGTGAATGGTTTTAATAACTTTATTACATGCGCATGTTAAACATGGAAAGATTTTTGACTTTGAGAAAGTTGTAAACTTGTTTGCGCTTCGCCTTCATTATTGAAATGCTCTAGGAATCAAATGTCCGAGTGTTAAGCTGTTATTGACTTTGCGAAGTAAGGGATGCATGCGCGGAACTATCTGTATCTTGTAGTAAGTGTATTTAAACTAGACAAAAATCTTATTTTCACAACAATTTTAACACGTCTTGCTTTCATTGGGCTATTTAATAGAAACTAAATGGGATTTTGGTCACTTTAAAAAAGCAATGTTTGACAAATGAAAAAAATCGATGGATAAGCTTGATAAAATGTAAAACCAATAATCTTCCTAAGTATCAATTCGTCTTAGCGCATCTGTAAAAATTAATTTATAATAAAAATAGTATTAGGCATGTGGCATAACCACTATATCCACTCATAGATTGTTAAAACATGTGCAAATGCGATATTCGCGCTGTTTGTAGAGGCCACACGCGCTTCAGACCACCCAATTCACGCGCTTTGAAAGTGATCGTGCTATTGTTTTGTGACGTCACCAAGAACAATAGTTTACTCTCTGGAAACACTCTGTAGTTTGAGCCCAACTATAAAAGCCAGAGGCGTTATTACCAGCAGTGATTAAAGGAGAAACACTTCTCTGAATACACGTTTCCCTTTAATGATGTCTGTTAAAACGCTCTCCACGGCTTCAGCTGCTGCCTTTGAAGATAGAGGAGGAGATTTTGTGTTGTTATTCCTTTGATAGATAGGATGAGGAAAAGTCAACTTTTCCAGACAGGTTTATTTCTGACAAGCACGTCATTTTTGAGAGGAAATATCAATAGGTAAATAAATATAGGCCTACATTGGTATCTTAAAGGCAGCAGATGTGTTTAAAGGTACATGTTTGGATTTGATTATCTTTCTTGCGAGCGAAAAGTTGTGTGTTTTCTATCTTGAGTTTGCCCAACAAGGAAAATGTTTTAGCAGTCATGTTTAGACAAAAGGCGCGTCAACTTTTTCACTGGCGGCTCACATGGGTAAATGGTTTATTTGAACGTGGTGGGAAGAACTGTGTGAGGGCTAGGAACAGATGCAAGTTCTCTCTGTAGGTAATAGATCACGGCGGGTTGAAAGCATTGCAGGCTGACAGGCTGGTGACAGCGCTGTATTGTGAAGTAGAGCGAGGGGTGGAGGGAGGGCCAGTCTGTCTCAGATTTGGCATCCTAGTAAACACATAAGAGCACTGTCGTTTAGGAGAGGAGAAATCCTCTGGAAATACCTCAGAGTAAGCCTCTTTTGGTCAAGGGCTGTTGCGGAGTCTCAAAAGACTTTTTGAGGGCTGGAGAGATATGGAGAGACGCTGAGAGTGACAGAAAGAGAGGGAGGAAATCCACAGAAAGCTTCTATTAAACAGCCGTCTCAAACAGCAGGAGAGCGCAACCACAACTTCTTAAAAACCCAATCCTTATATGTGGACATCCAAACACAAACCTGATGCTGTTAAACTTTCCGAATGAGGAATGTTGATGCAGAAATGTTGCTTTTCTGACTCTCCGTAGGAAAGTAAAGGCAATAAACCACGGGTTGGCACGCAAGATGCAAAATTGCATCGCAAACAGTGATTTGCAACAGAGCTGTGAGGTCTGAAGGGGAGAAAATATGTGTAAGGAGCTGTGAACGCATGGCCCTTGCTTAGTTCAAAGTTCACGCAGTTTGAAGTTTATTACTTTTTTTCACTCTCTGCTGTTAGGAGGAGGTTTTATTGGAGCTGGAGAGATCATAACGCACTCAACAACAGTTACAAAGTCTAAAATGATTTACACATGGTGTACCTGATTTTTATTTAGGAATTCAGACTTCAATAAAGCCATAAAGTGGTTCACTTTTTTCTCTTTTCTCAGTTGCCTTCATTACATCATGATAATGTGAACCAGGAATTGTTTTAACACAACATGATTGTTTTCCTTCTGATGTACTAATGAGGAGTTTAAGAAACAATAGCAGAACTGAGGAGTGCGTGAGTGTGTGCATCTGTGTGTGTGTGTGTTTTCCCAGTTGGTGTGAAGTGATTTGGTCAGGCTGGGAAAGGATCCCTGCTGAATTCAAACATTCGAACTGTTTTTTATAATAACTGAATGTTGAAATAAAAACGAGAGGAGGTGTTAAAATCATAAACATTTATTTGGAACATTGGGAACTTTTATTTCTTTTGACGTAACAAAGGATCTCCAGGAAAGTTTTTGCTTATAGAGTGAAGAATATTTTGATGGTTTAACTGGAACGAGGATTTGCATCCCTTTGCTGGCTCTCCTTTTTTGATTTGAAGTGTTTGAATAGGCAACACGGTGGCTTAGTGATTACCACTGTCACCTCACAGCAAGAAGGTCGCTGGTTTGCATCCCGGCTGGGTTAGTTGGCGTTTCTGTGTTCTGAGTTTGCATGTTCTCCTCGTGTTTGCATGGGTTTCCGCCAGGTGCTCCAGATTCCCCCACAGTCCAAGGACATGCGGTACAGGTGAATTGAATGAACTAAATTGGCCATAGTGTATGTGTGTGAATGAGTGTGTATGGATGTTTCCCAGTACTGGGTTGCAGCTGGAAGGGCATTTGCTGTGACATTTGCTGAAATAGTTGGTGGTTCATTCCGCTGTGGTGACCCCTGATAAATAAAGAAACTAAGCAGAATGGAAGTCAATGAATGAACTATTTGAATATTTCAAATGCAAAGAATATTTATTTGTGTTTATGTATGTGTATGTTTTTTTTTTTTTTTTTTTTTTGAGAAATATTGATTGGATTAGTGTGTGTTTTCTTCAGTGAAAGGAGTGAATGTTTTCTTTTTCCTTGTCTCACAGCCTTCTTGCTGTGAGGCGATCGTGCTACCCACTGCGCCACTTAACGCTATTTAATTAAATTTGTTATGATATTTTTCGAATGTATGATTTGTTTAATGCAGCAGTAAAACATGGTTGCTCAATTTCAGAAATTGTGGTGATGCTTTATTTTCCTGAAAAAATGTGAAGCACATTTTATGTATATTTTTAAAATATCGTATCACCAATTGATTATCGTTTTATTTAGCTTGCCTTCACTAATTACATTTTTCTTCAATATTGCACGGTACTAGTTTTCACACTTTGTCATATAAAATCAGCTTCTAATTGTGTTAGAATTCTCTTTTTAATGAAAAGCTATTGCGTCCTTATAAACGAATGACCTCACTTCATGAGCATGAGGAAAGCATAAACCTCACTGGCTGATAATACTGGGACTAATAGAGGCTACCTGGAGAGTTAGTTATTTATAGCAGCTGTGCTTAAGTTGGGACAGTTGTGTGTGCCTGTGTTTTAAATGTGGTTCATATGGTATGGTTGGTGGGGAGTCCGAGACAGGAATCTGTTTGAATGTGTTTGTGTTGTGTTGTGCTGTGCACACTCGCCTTCACACACACATACACACACAACTTTCTTTTGTAGCACTGCTTATTACATTTTCCAGTCTGGTTTGCATTGATTCTGTGCTATTTGCAAGCACTGTAATGGCTTTTAAAGGATGTACTCACATTGAAGTTCTTCCGTTTCATCTTTTTGTTTTTTAAAGGGGTAAGTAGGAAGTAGCGTTTAGATAAATATGTCTATATGCAAATGGGAACAAAAGTAGTGAGAAAACTGCAATTAAAGGGATAGTTTGCCCAAAATGGAAAATTCTGCCATTATTTGCTCACTCTTTAATGTCATTGGTTACACATTTCCAACATTCTTCAAGGTATCTTCTGTCTAGATTCCAAGTAGGACATGTTTCTGGATTAACATCTATGTTGATCCTTGAACAACATTCCAATAAGACAATCAGAATCAAGGGATACGTTTACAGCTTATGCTAAGTTAGGCTTACAGTTGGGGTTATGCACTTCTACATAATTGTTATTCAACTATTATTAATCTCTGATTTGGGGAATATTTTACAGTTATGGTTAGGTATTAGGGGTTGGGAATAGGTATGGATTACGTTTTTGAACAAAACTGACATTCTAGGATCAACATCGATGTTAATCCAGGAGGATTGTTTCGTACTTGGCAAAATCACACCCACCCAACTTAATATAGCACTTTATACAAGAGATTGCTTTAAAGCAAGCAGTTATATAGTATTATAGCTTTATAGAATTTAAATAAAGTCAGTGTTGATTTTAATTAGAAGCACAACATCAATTTCTGTTGTAAAGCAGCTCTTTATTGTGTTCATCTTTTAACTAATGAGCATTTCTATGACAAATAATGCTCAACCTATTACATAATCACCATAGATCAATGGTATATTAAATGTGTTTACCAGTCAAATCAATATTTTCTGGAGAGTTAATTCCAGAAGGCTGTTTGACCAAACTGTTGAATAAAACTTTTTTTTTAAAGATAGAAAAAAAGATTTTTTTCAGAGAAAAACAAAGTATTTCACTATTTGATTTGGCTTGAAAATTTATTTTTTTTACCTCATGAAGGTCGAATTCATGAAATGTTAGCATGTTGAGTTGTGGTCCTCATGTGGGTAATGTAAGTCTAGGTTTACAATTTCCTGTCCCTTATATTCAGACCTACTGTTTTAATTTTGTGTAAAAAAACTTTAAAGTCCACGTGAAATCAAAATGTACATTATTTATTAAGCTAACGCACATTGATATTTTTTATGTAAACAATTAATCCGTGCAAGTCATAATTTTTATTTTTATTTTTTGGTAAAATTTAGGTGTCTCTCTGTTGACGTCAGTTTGACAGCTTCAACCAGAATATTTTAATCTTGCCCTTATTACTTTAAACTGACTACTTTACACTTATTACTTTAAACTTTAAAACTAATTGATTTGTGTTCTGTTCTGTGCAAATGTGCTGCAATTAGTGTCTATTAGTGTTAGTGTCAGTCTATTTCACAATCAAGCGTGTTTACACCTGATATAAATATGTATTTTGCCTATCCCCT